ACTTGGGACCACAATGCAGATAGCGACTAATCATGTTAGTGGTACCATCCTCGATCGGTGACGATCTGCGCTCTGGCGTCACAGTATCACAGCATCACAGCTAGCTGGACAGAGATAAGAGTCTGTCTAAGCTGCGGCACGTTTGCTATTTTCTCATCTGGCAGACACGAAACTCTATTTCGCAGAAAACTTAATGAACTTTATATTTCGGAATCGAGTTTTAATTCTAGTATAGTTTATAGATCCACTCCATGATTAGCTTTAAGTGGTATGCAAAACTTTTTTAATGTCTCTCGTTTTGCGAACAAAAGAGTTTTAAGCGATGCAGTGGCACATACATATGTGTGTGTGCACATTAACATATGTCTGTATGAATGTGCATACATATGTTATTAATTCAAGAATTGTGCATATTTGCAGGCGTACTTGTGCTATTTATTATTTGGACAAGTGCATGTGCTATAAAATTGAAGAATCGTATTATATATACACTTAAAATACGTATATACATTTTTAAAAATATATTTTCAACATCTACAATTTTTTCACATTCAAATTTTATATAAAATGCAATTATTCACTAACGAACATGAAATTCTATTTACGCAAACAGAAAACAGAATGGCAAATATTTCGATTTGAAATCCATTTCAAATAAATCGTTTGCAATAAATATTTTTGAAATAAAATCAGTTATAAATATGATGCCGAATTTGAAATACCCTTGCAAAAAATAGTTTCTAGTTGCCGGAGCAAACTATACAGCATCGAAGCTAAGCAATAAGTAGGCATCAATAGAAATTATAGAAATTAATATTAAAAAAATTATAATACATGCCTCGTGACAAAGTTATGTTTAGCAAATTCTGAAGGGTGTACGCATTGAATTCTTTGAATTGAATTATAGATTAGAAGGCATCAAACCAACTACCACAAAAATATACATATATAAAATCAAATTTATATGCTAGCTGTGTCCAAGCATTTGTTGCTGATTGTAAAGAGCTTGGGGGCACGGACTGACGAGAAAAAAAAAAGCACACGCGTATTCACAATCCACATGCTAAACAAAGTCATTGCCTTCAAGTACAGCTAACAGAAACAGAAACAGCAACAGAAACAACCACAATTAATACTAAAGCGCGTGAAGAGCGCGACGAAATGTGTCAAAAAGCCTTTAGAAAAGACTTTGAAAAACCTAAACACACTTTTTAATTTCAGCACTCCAAACAATTGTGGCAATTTTGCCTAGGTAAAGTAGCCGTGTCAATTGCCCAACAATATAAACAAATTACTTCGCATCGAAACAACAACAATAACAGCCACAACGGCAGCATCGCCAACTGTTGCCGTCAGCAACAGCAGCAGCAGTTGCTGTAAAAATGCGTTGAGCTCTATTAATAATAAATTTGTTAACTTCACTTGAGACAGGCGCAAATTTGTCAAATGCTGACGGGTTGATGGTTCAGAGTCAACAACAAAAAAAAAAAAAAACGTTTCTTATCGATCGGATGTTTGCATACTCTGCCGCATCAAATTAACCAAACGGATAATATTTGCTCTAGAATAAAATCATCTAGAACAATATAATTGAAAATATCATGTATCATCAAAGCAGTGTAATTAGTATCTTTTTTGTATTGAAAATATGCAACTATTTTCTTATTACATAAAGAACTAATGCTTTTACATTACAGTTACGCAATGTAGGCGTTACAAGACCGACGTTATAGCTAACATAGCCAGTCAAGTGATGCTAGGCCTACGACAGTAGCAGCTGTGAGTGCGTCGCCGCTTGCCGCTAGATGGCGTTTGGTGTTTGCATGGCAAGCAACAGCCACAGCAGCTCAGCGCAAAATATTATATCTAAGCTCTGGCACAAACAATTAACATGTAAACGAATTTGCTAAAAAATTCATTTGTTTAGCCTTTTGTCATAAATTGATCGATATAATGCGTATCTATATATGAGGAGAACGCCTTGTTATTATACAATTAGTTGTATTTATGTTTCGGCTGCTGCTGCCGCTGCTGTCGCTGTCTGTCGTATAATTAAATGACCATTAGGCGTATTTAACACACAGCTATGAAATTTGGGTCATTACCAACCAAACCATAGCCAACATCGGCCCAAAACTCACACACGTGCTACTTGACTCTGGGACAGCGGCTGGAGATGGGGCCGACGCTGGGGCTGAGGCTGAGGCTATTGCGTGGACGTGTTTATTATGATTACGATTATGTTTGTGCCATGCCTGTGGGCTGCTCTCTATCTGCTGTGAATAGTCAACGCATCTGTTCTACATAAATATTATGAAATTCAAAAATTAGAGCCGGCTGTCCGCTAATTTGCATTGAAAACAACAGCGCGTTTAATAGAAGGCGAAAGTCTAAGGTTGCTTCAGGTTGCATGCGTCAATAGGCATGCGTGAAGAATTTCAAGCGTGGGAACTCTGTCGCTTAGGTTCTCAATGAATGCCACGGGCCAAAGATTTTTACTAACATATATATATACCAGTATATATATATGTGTGTTTTTTTTTTGCATTTAACGCCTCGACTTTGGCAACGTCGTCGGCTTTGCCTGGCTGGTCGGGTTTGGGTGCCCCCGGGGCGCAGTTCGTGTTTATGGGTTCACTGGCAAACCAGACAGGCAAAGTCAATTATTGACTAATGAAATCTGCAAGACAGAAAAAATAGAAACAGCTAAGTAATGAGTGCTGGGGCAGCACCCCCACTCCGCACTCCGGAATTGATTGTTAACCGTAACAGTTTTGGGTTTGTAAACCTGCCAGGCATATGTCAAGGAAATTGGGTCATTACGTTTGGCCAAAAAGAATCCGACACACACAAAGTACGAAAAATAGTTGCGAAAAACTTGTTTCGACAATACTCATTGATATCCACCCACAGGTGAACTCTCATTGGATTTGTCATGCCACCTGGCCCACAACAATATCGCCAAACTATAAAAGCCCAATCGTGTCGAAGCGGGTAATGCTAAATACGCAGATTGATGGCATGATTGTGCATATATAATAAATTAGAATAAGAACGTGGTAAATACTGTTTTTTGGGGGTCATAAATACCAGCGGTTAATGAACGCAGTAAAAACAGCAAACAATGCAAATTAATGCAAAAATAAAAAAAGAGTCCAGCAAATCGACTGCCAGCGTCTGCAAGATCGGTACAAAAGAAACACTTATGCATATGGGCAGTAGTAAAAGCGATTGATTTCCAACTTGTTTCTACACTTCGCATATCAAGTTCTATAAATGATCGATTTAAAAGCTAGATTTCGATTCAGCAATAAACAACTACACTATACAGCCAAACTGCAAATAACAAAGTTTCTTTCGATCGGTTCTCAAGTGCATAACAATATTTTATGATGGATTAACCGAAAAGACATTTCGAAATCGTGTTAAACCTGCCTATATTTAAAGTTTTTACTCGAATTAATTTGTTTTATTATTTAGTACACAAGTTTTCGATTAACTTGCTTTGCATATACGTTACCCTGTAATGACATCTTGAAGCTTTCATCAAACATGTGAATTTGTAAGAAACATGAGCCAAAAGGCTTGAGTGCATAGCTCATTACACTGCAAGAAGCACACACGATTTTATGTTTATAACTATGTATATGCACATTTGACAATTCAATTTTATTAACTGAAAACGGGAGCTAACGCACGTTGCATGTCTTCGTCATCCTGTCGAACTGAAAGGGTTGAAAGGCGTAGCTGGCGGACCCTCGGCCAGAAGTGAGAGCTGGCGAATTCGGGAGAGAATTGAGCGAAACAAGAGATCTATTTTCTCCAAACTCTCTTGCTCAATCTCTGAGCCCAGTTATACTTATATGCTTATAATCAGAAGGCAATAAAAGCGCAGCTGAGCAACTGAGTTATTTTTGAGAAGCTTCTCACGTGTAATCAAGGTTTTTCTTTATAAATGCCCCACCCTGGCTTGGCTCGGTTGTTGTTTGTTGTAAGTTCAAGCTGCCCACTAAGGAAATTGTGCAATTTGAGCAAAGCAAAAAAAAGTAATAATAATATAAATGAAAACCACAACAAGCAGCTGTCAAGTGCCTTTGAGTGTGCATCGAAACTAAAATGGCTTTGAATAATTAAATTTCATAGATATAAATATAAAAATAAATGTTAACATTAATTTTAATTTATGCGTATAAATGCCATATTTGCTGCCTTAATATAATCGAACGATCGGCTAAGACAATGGCTTGAATGCAGTGGTTATTAACCCACTTGCCAACTGAGAATCAAGAGGCATACATAAATGGCAATGCGGATAGAGACGAATCTATAGATGAGCTCAAAGCTGGCCAGTCGAGTTGATGCTTCAAGTTCGCAAAATTTGCATGAAGAGCACCGTTCACTCCTTTTTGGTGCAGAATATATACGGCAATTAAAATTGGTTTGGCCTTAAACGATATTGTCTTGATTTATTTGTGTTTTTCCTTATTTTCAAACAATAATAAAACACCTCCGCGACTTGGCCCGGAAGCTGTAAGGCACTTTTGGCCATTCTCTTGTATTTACACTCAGAGACTCGGTTCGGTTCGGTTTGGGGTTTGTTCAATTTTTACACAATTCTTGACAGAAAGCAGCTGGACATGTAGCTGAGGGCCTTCATGAATATGTGTGCCCAATATTATTTGGAGCTCTTGCTTTTTTATGTAAACATGTCAAATTAATTGTGCGGCCGCATTTGAGTACATCCGACAGCTGCAGGAATCTGGGCGTTCTGAAACGCAGAAGACAAATAATACCAAAAACTAGAGTAAAAAAAATATGTAAATACTTATGTGGCACATACTTATAAGTATTATTACAAGGTTAACAGCCATATTATATAGATATTTATATATAGATTATAGATATACGAGCATTCTTTACTTAATGTCAAGTGCGTAAAACGTTCACGACTTTGACACATGTTGGAAATTGCCCAAAGAACTGGGGTGAAGACAAATACATTTTGATGGCGTCAAATTGCCAAAGATATGAAACGGTTTTTTAATGGAGTTCACAGATCTTAAACATACGGAATTGTGGTACGTCATGCTGCCACTAGATGCGATCTGCTAGATGATTCTTGTAAATTTGCGCCCAATAACAATAGAAGCAAAAACAACAACAACAACAACAACAACCTCATAATAATAGCAATTTCAACACATTTTGATGAGAACTGTCAAAAAAATTAAGAAATTCCAGCAGTACAGTGGCCATCAAAATCAACGCCCGAGCATGCCCGGTCCCGGTCCCAGTCCCAGTCCCAGTTCCAGTTCCAGTCGCAGCTTCAATTCCAATCCGAGTCAGAGTCCGAGTCCGAGTCTTGTTGCTGGCTGCCTGCCTAGTTAATGAATATAATCTCTTTTGATGGATTGAAAAGCGCCCAGGCGAGCGACCAACCGGCCCAAGACTCGGCTTTATATGAGCCACTCGCATTGCCATGAACTTTGTCTTTGTTTCGTTTCATTTCATTTAATTTTTATTTTCTGTATTGCCGGGTTGGGAAGGGGGTGTTGAGGATGGAGGGCACGCTTAAGGGGTATTGGCATTGTTTTTGTGTGCCTGCTTTTTGTTTTTGGTGCGTAATAAAATAATACGAAAAATGTATTAATTTTGATGGTTTATAATGTTGTTGATTTCTTTTGGGCCTCAATCATGAGAAATATTATCGAGATATTCATCAGCAACTTTGCTTTTCGTATATCTGCCGAAATGCCAGTCTCCAGATACCCTGCACGTCAAGAGTATAAGTTAAATCGGTTTTGTTTTTCGCTGTATTTTAATGAGTATTTAAATGATCTCATTATTAGTTAATTACGCTTATCCGATCCTTTCGCTACTTAAATTTAATGTACCAATTGTTTATCTAATTATCAATTTCAATTTAATCACTCGTTCTTTTTGGCAACTCAGCCCGAGCAGTTCCGGCTCATATATGTCCAAAATATGTGCGTGTAGGGCACACTTGACCGGCTCAATTAACTTAGATCTTATCTGCTGTGATTGCTGGCCGGCATGTGCGATCCAAGCCCAAATCTTATCGTAGAGCTCTTCAACAAAACGAGGGGGAACGAAAACCAGTTTTACATACGATACTTTTGCCAGAATATTTACGTCTCTTTCTTTTCGTTTTCTGCTTCTACCAATTCTTGGCTGTCGCCTTAGTTTTGTTGGTGGGCGCTACAAGAACTTAATGAAGCGTTAATAAGTATCCATGTGTGCCCTTTTTATAAGAAGGGTTTAATCTGGCACTAAATAGCTCGTTTGCATATCAAAGAAATTCTTAAAATAAGCAAAGATCGAGAATCCCGTTTAGCGGGCTCCCCGTTCTGCATGCCCTTAAGATCGCCACCTAACCTTCAATTTGATGGAGGGTATACGTGATCAGTTTTATTTGTTTCTTATATATTTATATTTTTTTTCAGTCGTATGCGAACAGTTGTTGTAATTAAGATCAGCTGCAAGAGCACCAAGAGACACACAACCATCGGCGTTTGTTTACGAGAGTTGCCCAATCCGTTGAAAGATGGATAGCTACATCTACAGATACAGCTAAAGTTGCCCAAACTCATTTTTCATTAAATTGTAATAATAATTCATTAGCAAATGTTCGTTTTACATAAAAAAGCAACAACTAAAATGATTGCTGCTGAGTGCCAAAACAAGCGCGACAGGCGTCAGATGCTCGACTGAGGCAGCATCACCATCAGCAGCATCAGCATCAGCAGCATCAGCATCAGCAGCAGCAGCGGCAGCAGCACCAACGGCATTGGCTGAGAGACAATTTATCTGCCTTAAGCAGTCAAGATAGCAACGCCAACGCGCAGGCCAACTAATCGAGAGCAGAGACCGAGGCTGCGCCCTTTCTTTTCTTTAGTGTTGCTGTTGCTCTTGCTGTTAATGTTGCTGTTGCTGTTGTCGTTGTCGTTGTCGTTGCCATTTGCGGCCAAACACTTGCAACATTTGTGTTCTTGCAGTCGTGTGGCATAAACGTTTTCTTCTTAAGCCTGTGTTAGGCTGCGCATGGGAAGTGTGATCAAGTGATAATTCAGTTACTCGCGGCATGTAGAGCCTCTTGCTACATACGGTCGATGCGAGTGCGCGACAATACGCACACACAAGGATACATGAACACACCCACGCGGATAGCAAAACAAAAAGAAAAGAGAAGAACAGCAGATAAATAAAGGAAGGATTCATTGGCATTGCCCGTAAACCAACTGCGCCAAGGCTTGGCTCGCAAATTGCCAAAGCACAGCTTAAACGTCTTACAAATTGCAAATTGGCAGCGGCGCATGCGCAGGCGTTGTCCCCAGTTGTGCCTGGCCAGCATTCGGTACCAGTGAAACAGTTTAGTGAACTTGGCGAGGGTTCAAGCACAGCAACAGCATCTCGTGTGCCCCTTTCTCTCTGTCCTTTCTGGACCGCGATTGAATTGCGTGTGTTGCTGTCGGGCGCGTTGGTTGCTGCCGTGTATATTGCTGGCGTGCAGAGTGCTGCTGTGTTGGCTCCGGGCATTGTTTGCATTGCGGCCAAGCGCGAATTGCATGTTGGCGTTGCGTCTGCGCAGCTATCGAGTGTTTAATCATAATCATTGCCGGAGATTACAGTGAAACATGCAGTGCAAATAGCCCAACAGCTAACAGTAAATGAGAAGAAAAACAAAGTGATCAGTGATCAGTGATCGGTAAACCTCAAGATGTCCGCCACTAGGCTAAAGCCAGCACAGGCAACAGCTGTTGTTGAGGTAATTAAAGTGCCAAGTCCATATAGGGTATTTTCTTTAAGCGTCTGACTTTGGATGAGCAGCCTCTGGATATATATGGACATGGCGTTAATGGAAAATCGCCTTCTCTTGGCTGCGTTTGCAAGTCGTTTTTTTTTTTTTTTCATTTTCCTATTCGGTGACCTCAATTGGCGTGCAATAAAATTTGCCAGCCGCTAAATTTTAATGTCTTGTAAAATGTGTTATAAAATTTATGCTCCCGAGTGCGCAGCATAGAAATTATTGCCTTGTTTTGAAATTGTGTGCAAGTGGTTTGGCATTAAAGCAACTTGTTTTTATTGTTTAATTATGATTTTATTATGCTCATAATTAGGAAATCGTAAAAATGAGCCTCAACTTTGATGATATTGTTGTTATTGTTGCTCAAATCTTATTTGGAGCGTTCATCAGCACAAGGGACCGGTTCGAGCGCACAATCGAATGGAAAGTACATTTTTTAGGTTATTCTTGATCAGTTTTAAAAATCTGAATATCATCAAAAATTTCCGTAAAATGCACAAAACCCGTTCTACTTGTGAAACATCCCATAAATTAAATAACCATACGTATGACACACATTCAATGGAAAATGACATAAATTTGAATTAATTAAAGTTGAAATAATAATGGGTGAGAATTATGGCCAGACCGTTTGCATAATAAATTGCATAAAGACTTCCTAGAAGATCTAGATGAACTCACAGACTCTCAAATAAATGCTGAGATCAACGCACCCACATCACATACCACATTCGGACTTTAGCTGTTCTTTCTTCGATATTTGCGGTTGGGGGTGCGGCGACGAGGCCTGGCTGCGGCACGAGACTTGTCACAGCCGTTTGGCAATTAACGCCAAATAACAACAACAACAACAACAACAACAACAACAATCGACAAAATTAGATGTCGGCAAGTATTCGGAAAATACGCCCAGTCGCCCAGGCGTTCCGTTTTTATGGGAACCCATAAATTCATAGGAAGCATTCGCTGAGGCGCAGCGTCCAATGAGCCAAGACGCCGGCACACCCTCCCAGCCTCTATGGCCGACAGCTACACGCGCCAGTTCCAGGCTCAGGGACAGACACGCATTTGGATTATGTCACGGCACGCGCACTGGGACCGTTGGGGACCCACTGGGTCTCGGTGGATGTCCAATGCTGCTGTCCAACGTAAACAAACAATCGCGATTCTGTGATTCGTCTATGGTCAAGATCGTGGCGCCCTTGGCGCCTTATAACGAGCACTTATTTTCAGATTTTTCACATTTTCTTTTTTTTTACAATTCGCAGATGCCTGTAATATATTATAATACGTTTAAATATATATACACAACAAATAAAATATGTACGAATATGCTCAAATCAAGAGTCTTGGAATACGGGCATATCCTGGTACCCAAATGAAACTAAGCGTTTAACTTGATTTCAATATTTGTTTAATAGGGCTTAAATTTATTTTCATGTTCTACATCGTTTGAATTAGCTTAATAATTCCGTTAAAAACTTTTCTTTACTTCGTTAATGTTTTGTTTTTTGAGAAATGAATTCAAGTACTTTAAACCAACTCGATCTGTGTAAGTTATCACTTATCACTTTTTGTGTATTGAAGATTTCTTCAAACTTCAAGATGAATGTTCAAATTCTTAACAACCCATTTTGCAGTCTCTAAAATGCAGGGTAAAATTAGCATGCTCACATATATAAATATACATATAAATATATGTATATGTTTATAAAGAAATGCTATATCTATTTTCGGTGCTAGCGATCGAGTAGGAAGAACACGAAACAAGAGGAAAGTTTGTATAGTTCTTAAAAGTTGTTCTTCAGCTAAACTGAAAATTTTCAGGTTTTGAATGTTACGTTAGTTTATGAAAGGACAATAATAACATTGCAAGAGTGCAGCTAGCCAATGAAGTTGATGCAATGGAACATGGGAAAAATAGGAAGAAATAATTCAGTCTTTATCAACATATTGGTGTCTAAAATTGAGAGTTAAAGGACAACCATTCCTAAACAAGTTAGGATCAGCGTACAGTTCCCGATTGAATCTATTTTAGAATACAGTACTATATCCATTAAATATATGATTCTCTTTTGTTTATACGAAACGCTGCGAGAGCAATGCGTATGAAACGTTGTGTTTTCACCAGAGCATGCCTCAGTCTGCTTTCGAATTTCGCACATGCTCAGGCTGCGCGGTAAATGGATCAAAAATTCTGTTTTCAAATTTTATATTTCGAGAGTTTTGCGGAAAAGAAATTAAAAATATCGTGATTTGAAACAAAAATTGCTTCAAACTGGGCAACGAAAATGTGAAATGCATAAAGAATTTTTAATAATTGCATAATTTCGTTTTGGTGTCGAAAATGTAATTTCATCTTAAATACCGACCAGCGATATTTGAAAAGTTTCACAATTCTCCCAACGAAAAAGGGGCCAGAAAAAGTGAAGTTTTATAAAAACGTGAGGGCATTCACAAGCTAATACGTTAAAGGTGAATATTATAACAAGACGATTCTAAGTTTCTGAATTTGACAGTTAAATACTCAAACACTGCGACACATCAAAAATTGCACATAGTATATTTTTAATGTCAGACAGACTTATACGCAAAATATATTCACTTGGCGCCATTTGAATTTTAACACATTTATGATGTCCCATTTTAGAGTATTCGCTGTCATCTACTTACACGCCGATTTTTTTAGGATATATTCAAAATTTTTAAAATCTATTTTTAATTGAAATGAATCTGAATAATTGTCTATGCACAACTTTTACCCATTTCAAACGGTAGTTTTGAAAAAAAAGAAGGAAAAACTATAAAATCGAAAAATAAACTAAACACGCCCTTTGCTAAAAATAGTATGCTTTAACTCTGCGGTGGGTGTGAGCGAGCAACGAAAAAAAAAACAAAACAAAAAAAAACTATATACACAGAGAGAAAAAACTGGCTAGTTACGATATTTACAGGAGCTGCCCAAGCGGCTGCAAAACCAAACAATCCCAGGATAAATGTTAGCAAATAAACAAAGTCAAAAAAAGAAAATGCTCTAAAAAAATCTAGACAAATGATGAGTGAGAAAGCTTTGAGGTTCGATTTATGGCAAAAAAAAAAAAATTTCCAAAGGCATCAACCAAGAAATAGAAAAAAACTAAATAAAAACAAAAAGAAAATATTCTGCACGGCATAGAAACGAGAGCAATCGAAGAGGCGGCGGTACCAAAAATAGCACATGTCCGTCTTCATTTTTTACGTTTGGCAAAGTTTTTTATTTACTTTACCTTGCCATTGTTTGTGCTTATGTTTGGGAATAGATAGAAGCGTGTCAGAATTTTGATATATTTGTTTGAAATGAACATGATAAAAATCGTGTGTGCAGAGAGTTGAACGTTTGCCGGTTTCAGTAAGGCCATAAAATGTAGCATTATATAATCTAAAAGCAGCGACGACGAGGAAACAATAAAAATGCTTTATTAAATCCACCAAGCTGAAACCGGGCAAAAAAGTCCAAATAGCCAGACATAAACAAAAAAAAAATATATATATATATGAATTGGCAATAATTAAAGTAAGACAACAAATACAACACAAGTATTTATGGTACAAGCAAATTTAAATATGCTAAAATATAAGTAAAAATAATATAACGAAAATAATATTAAATGCAGACCGCATTATGACAATGAGTGCGGCACATGTGGCCGAGCTATGAGCTGAGTGCTTCAGTCTGCCCGAAATGTGAGTCTGGAAGATTTATTAGCTGTGACTAGACACGCTGAATGCGACATTAGATATGTGGCCTAGTATACACTACGCTTGGACACTCTTTGAGTGTGACATAATTTTGAGCTTTGTGGAATTTAGAGAGCAGCCAAATAAATGAACGAGCCGGCAAGAGCCGGGTGTGCCCGACTAGGAGATACCCAAAACACAAGTAACTCTAGCTTCCTTTCAATACATAGACAAAGAGCACTTGCAACAGCTTAGGCTGTGCTTCTTCCTTTTGCGCTCGGCGTTTATTGTCCGATCCGCGTAAGATTTTCAGGATATAAATCACATAAATGTATAAGTACCTAAGTACAAGTCTATGCCTATATAGAAGAGGTATCCAAAAAGTAAATCTTGATTTACGAACATAAAAAGATCCAATTCTGAGCAATAATATATATACCTTGTGGCTTCGGAGATGGCTTTTTGGGCGTGGAGCAAACGATTGCACAAAACCGTCATACCCTTCTCTGCTGTTTTTAATGGACTCAGAGTATAAAAATAGATCAACTCAAATTTAGGAAGCTTATGCTGACAAATTTTTGAACCATAAATAAATAACAAGCAATGTCTGGTTAGAATTAAGTGGGAGGGAATAATAATTTTGAAAATATATAAAAAGCTGTATAGCTATTAGAACCTACTTTGATCCTGGCTAGCTTTTGGACTCAACAAAATATTTTACATATAAAATGTTGCCTGGACTGGAAATAATAACAACAAATGAACTGTTAATATACTTGTCATAATAACACGCTCAATGCTTTTTGTTATTGTTGTCTTCGCTTTTGTTTTCATATATGCAAAAACGTGCCGGAAATTGCGTGACAGCTAAGCACGCGAAAAATTCTCATAACATTTATATAACATTTGTACTACCCGTTTTAGTTGAACGGCTCATGTTCACATCTTATGTTAACTCATTGAGGAAGTGCATATTACCTATGACATGCAGTTTGTAACAGGCGGAATGCTTGCCTCGTGCTCGTGACAAGACGGACGCCCACAACAAGCTAAAGTTAGATATGGTTCGATTTTTTTGCATGGGATTTCCTGGAATCGTGTTTTAGGGTATGCAATGTGCGGTGTGTTTCATAAATTTCATTTTTGGTTTGTTGTTTTTATTTGGATTGTTTTCCTTTTTTATTCATTGCGCCGCACTCATTTAGATTGAGCTTGAGCTTCCTTCCCTGACCATTTGTTGCTTCCGTTTATTTGTTGTTTCTCATTACAGTTTTTTGTTTTCACTTGCCTTTTTTTTTTGCCTTTTGTGAAGATCATTTATTATGCGTGATACTGTGAATAACGTCTCGTCCAGTGCGAACTGTTCTCTCTCCGGCCTGCCAGAGGCCAATCAATTTTAATTATCGAACAAATTAATCAGTCGCAACTTTCGTATCATTAAGATTAATGATGCTGACCGATCTGGGTGGCAACGGTACCCATATTAAAACAACAACAACCACAACAACAATTCAACGCCAGATCTTGCCTATGCAAATAGCAAATACAACATATGAGACCCCGAGCATGATCACGAACTCGATCTCGAACCTAAGCGTATCGCATGGCGACCCAAATGAGCCGTGGTTAATGTGATTAGAGCGCGCTTTAATTGCTCGCTTTGTCTAATTATACGCCTGATATTGGGCAACACTTCGTACATTCCCAATCCCAATTTAAAACAATAAATAATTGTCGCGTTGCGCAAAGTGCACTGACCTGCCAAAATTATTGATATACATATGTATATAGACATCAAATATACATACGTACACAAAATATTTGTATGGTGAAGTGCTGGTGCACGAGTATTCATAAGTCTGGTTGGTGGTTGGACTCATGTGTCCCGTTTGACGGTTCGTTCGAGTACAATAAGAAGAAACCAGTGAAACGCAAAACGAGACAAAGACAAAAATCAAATTCACCAAATTTATAACGCCGACTGCAGTTGTCTCGCAGGTCACTGACGTGCATCAGCCGGCAAGCCACAGCCAATTGGGCTTGACGTATCTGACAGATAGACGGACAGACAGACGGACAGACGGACAGACAGACAGACAGACAGACAGACAGACATACAGCCAGACAGACAGTCAGAGAATTACAAAGCGGACTCGTAGCGCCCTAATGAATTATTTATACGAGTACGCAGCACCCAGAACAATTCGCAGTTTCTTGCGCCGTTGTTTTCTGAATGAACAAGAAATAGCAGTAGCCTTTGCAAGGCCGAATGTTAAATACCCTTGCACATGAACTAGAAGAACTCCTTTTGAGACAAATTATCTCTGAACCCTAATCGATATTCGACAAATGAACTGAATGGTTTAATCTTGATAGCTTCAAATCCATGAGATTCTTTTGCACCGAAACTGACTCACAACGCAGCATAGTTATCTATCGAAGGAGACACGTTACACACTTGATAAGAAAGTCGCATTACCCGGGCAAGGGTATAATTAAGGCATCGACTTCCACTTCAATTTAAACTTGCACTTCAAGTCATGGAAAACAACTGCTCCTCGCACCACCCCGCAACTTAAGAGAGGGCTAGCTAATGACGGCGACAGACAGACTGAAATATGAGCACAAGTTCGAGTGCAATACTCACACACACACAAACACACTCGCACATGCGCGCAGTGAGCATATGGTTCATGCAAATTTTTAGCGATTAAAAAGCCATAACTTATATTATCAACGCAAAGCTTTGAGGTTAATTGACAGAGTGCCAGACTCACCCGGGCCAGAGCCAAAGTGTGCTTGAAAATAAATGTTGCACATAAAAAACAAAAGACAATTATTAGAATAAATGAAACCATGTGAAGGTCTCGCGAATGCTTTTCCGCATGCGAATATCAGTCCGCAGCTTGTTATATTCAATGCACTTTCTGGTCAGACTCGGAATAGATCGAATGGGCGCTTCGGGGGTTGCAGCAAACGAGTTAGTCGTCTTATAACCTCGGTCGAGTTCAAATTTCAAAAAGCATTTTTTTTTCTTCTCTTGCATTTGGCTTCACAGTTTCAATTGAGGTCCCGCTTCGCCGGAAACGAATTTAATACAACATTTTTACTAAGGAATCAGAATAATATAATTATATAAATATATGCATGTATTTCTTAGAAAATGACCGCTGGGAATGCTTTTCAACCGATTTCTCAAGAGTTCCCACAGTGATGCATATGTTTTCGAAGCTTGAAATCGATGCTTCATTCCGTTAACCAGAAATTGCTTTTAATTTGGAATCTGCCTTTAATGCGATGATTGATGTGGCGCCCCTTAAAGCCGCAACTAAAATGCCTTCGGCGCCAAGTTCGACATCCTCAAAGTGCAGTGTCAAAGAATCGGGATGGTAATGGGGCATCGCTTAATGTCAAGTGACAGCAACAGCAGCTACAATGTGCATAAAGTCGTCTCTTTCCCTGACTCGGGACTCGTTTCTGACAGCTGCTGCAGCATATCATGAAACTTGCCGATTATCATTGTGATCTTTGATAATCGATGTTGGGCTTGCGCTTGGGCACCTGATATCATCGATACTTAATTAATTGAGCAGCTCATGGGTGCATAGGAAAATTTTGAACAGCAGACACAAACCATGCGCCCCATCAAATTCAAATAAAATATCAGACCCAGTCCCAGTACCGGTCCGATTTGTTTATTTTCAAAAATGAAAAAAAAAAAATGAAAAATAGCAACCAAAAAGAAACTGGCGGCAAATGTTTCCAGGCAAAATCTTTTACAGCATTGGCATTCCACTTATTCACATTTCACCATTCTATGTTTATTTTGTTCCACTGTGCTCGCACTTTGGCCGACTTCCCACATAGTGAGCACATAAAATTAATAATCCTCACCTGAATATGTAGTACTGGGGCACTTTGCTTATACAGCTGAAACTCTTAATTAGCCATTTTCATTTTTCAACTTTGAATCTCGTGTGCTACCGTTCGCATATATATATATATGCATACAAAATGCTATATATATATATATATATATATAATATAATATAATTACTTTGCGTGAGGTCGAAACTGAAAGAGATGTCGGCCTTTTTTTATTTAATGACCACAAAAATATCACTCATCAAAGGTGGGCGTATGAGTATGAATTTATTTATAATTAAAATGCCCCTTAGTAGAATACTATTTTGGCTAGGGAATGTTCTGGCCGACTGTATAATAAAAAATAAAAAAAAAAACAATGAATTTCATCAAGAACACCCACAGGCTTGTAATCGGGCATCAAACATCACGTCGAGCAGGCTTGGGAATGCAATCAATCAAAATGCGAATTCAATTGGATACATTTATTGAGGCGCCTGTCAGCTAGCAATTTGATGGCCTTTGAGGGTTGCCATTCAAAAAGCCAGGCGCATTGTCATCAGAGAACAACAACAGCTGCAACAGCAACAATCAAAAAATAACAATAACAATAACATATTATGGCGCTTCTGTCGGGTGCAACCAACTGCGCTATACTCTGTCAAGGCCCAAACAAATGCTTACAACAGTTTACCCGGCAAATTGAAGAAGATGGATCGATATACCGGGAGACTTCAGTAGAAATCATTCAAGCCATGGGCATCTTTAAAACTACAGAGAATATTTCGCCACAAACCAATTGGAAGGACATATTTAAAGCGTATTTAAAGGACATATTTAAAGCGTATTTCGAAAACGGTCACACGAACAGCAGCAAAACCAATATGCTGTTTTCGCTTTCTTGGCCGGAATAATAAACGCAACAGAGTGTTTACATGCCGCTGGGGCTGACGATGACAGGCAATAGCTAAATTAAGATGTCAGAGGCGTTACAGCCATAACTCAGGCGCATTATCAGAAGCAATTAAAAACTTGCACAGACAATGGCACAGCCAACAGCAATGGGCAGAAGATGCGGCAACAGCCGCAGCCCAGACAACAACAATAACAACGGCAATAGAAGAAGAAAAACAAATAAAACGTGTCAATGAATGTTTTTCTTGGCGCTGGCTTTTTAAGCTATTTCGCATTTACACACACACGCACACACACACACACACACACCCGCACACACTTCCCAACAATACACAACACTGGCCACTACAAGCGTTTAACGGTAAATGGTAAATGAAGCGAAATTCATTGTGTTTTGCATATTTACTTATCTGTTCTGCTTTGAACATGCTCGTTCCATCTTTTTGCCATGCCCTTTGCTGTTTGTTCGCTCTGGCAACGCGGCACATGGTTGCCAGATTGCCGGCCGGCACGACTGAGCAGGCACACACACACACACACACACACACACACACACAACGTTAAAATGATCCCGATACAAAATTCCACTTATGAAACACAAAAACGCAGCATACACAAAGGCGCTGTGGAATTTATGTGTGCATATTTGCATTTGCATGCATGGATTGCGATTCCACATCCGCTTGAGGCGTTTCTTTGTGGCACATGCTACGTGGGCTTGAAACGTTGACATTTCCTCTTTGTGCATATAACATATAATTCAGGTGATTTTATTTATATACGCCGCAGCACGCAGCAGGTGTGTCATTGGCATTGCGACAAGGATTGCGATTTCGACGCGTTTTCTTAGCCGCATTTACTCGCGTTCCGTCGGAGACTCAATTTGCCAGTTGCTCGAAATTCGATCGGTCGTGAAATATCTAAGCTTTTAAACGGTAATTAGTTTTAGTTTAATTTTTTTTGTGCTTTTTAAATATCTTTCTTTTTATTTATGGAAATTTTGCTGGCATACCAGAAGCATATTTTGTATTTGTTTACACTCAACACTGTGATTAGTTTAGCTAATGGAGCTGTTATTTTTGTTTTTATGTGCAACCTGACTGAACCACATCAAAAATAAACAATAATCTAAATGTATTTCGGCTTTGTTTAGTGCATTCCTTTTGGCAACGTGTTGCCGGACCAGCCCCCAGCGCACAAGCCAAAGGGCAATTTAGCTCGAGTGCTTATTAACACATTTATGCATTAAAAAAGAAAAAAGTATAAACACGCTCACTCTTAGACAAATTGTTCAGCCATCAATAATTTGCAGTTTCGTGTGAGCCATCTGTTTAGTTCGCACCACCCTCTGTTTTCCAAGAAGCGGCTTTGAAGTGCCAGCACCGTGGACTGTTGCCCGCTCTTTTTGTTTAAGATTCAGTTTATTTCTGTAACTAACAACGTTTTAGGCACTCTCACTAATCGACAATTAAACGACTGCCACGCCCCAATTTTAATCGAAAGAATATCTACGTGTTCTTGAGCGGCAAGTGTCTCGGTTTCTTTGGGATTAACTATATCTAATTTGCATATTTCTTGTTTGATACCACTCCCAAATATAACTGTTTTTTATTTTTTTTTTTGTTTATTAATTAATCAACGATACCCAGTCTCGATTGCAATACCAATTTAAGTTTAATATTCTGTTCAATTGGCCAGGTGGTCGTTGATTCCACTCGGCTTCATAAGGCCAACGCCTTTGGCATCGACTTGCACTGTCCAAATAAACACGCACACTTTGTAAGCGTCCAAAAGCAAATAAATATTTGTAATTTATGTTTTTGCCCGACGTGGGCAATCCAACTGCAGATACACATAAATATGTAAATAAACCGAACGTGAGAATGTGCGGCATTGGGGAATGTTGAATGCACTACCCCATACTCAAAATGTTGATAAGCCAAATATAGATGGGTCAATGTGAATACTGAATTCAATTATTGATTGCAAATTGCCACAGCACATGACTGAAATATATTCGAGAGTAGCCTCACTTTTAAAATTCCGTATGTTCCTTAATACTGACTAGGCAAATTATATGCCAGAATAACAAGGAAATCCCTAAATTGTACATATACAAATAATATAGTAAAGCAAATTAGCAATTAGTCTGCAACCATTCATAGATAAACACAGGGTATTTGTGGCCACAATTAACTCGATAGTGCGAATAATTACATATAACGCATACGCCGCGTGTGACCATAAATTGAAATTCGCAAGTCTTTGCGTGTGTTATTTCATGCCATTTACGCAAAAGTGTGCCAAATAAATCAAAAAGGCGGCCTATTAAATAAAGCATTAAATAAAACCTGAATAAATACACTACTCTTACTGGCAAAACATTACAAAGCTCCGAGCTGCAGTTTAATGTGTGCATTAAAAAGTTTACGACACTTTTGCAGACAAGTGCAAAAGCACTTTCCGTCAAAACGGATTCGGGATTGAGAATCCATAATCTTAAGCATGAATCATGCGGCACACAGCACGCCATCGGTAATAATATTTTGATTTGTATTATTATTCAAATTCAAATATCAAAGCTAAACATTTGTCGGGCGAGCTAGTACTATTGTATACCCTGTATCCCGTTAGGAATGGGCATTTCGGTACGGTAGGCAAAAAAACAGACGGCATCTCTGAACCCAAAGAGTGAGTCCTTCTTCAAAAGTCAGATACTTCAAGTTTGGAGCATTAGCTTGCCTATTGTACGCCCAGTTTATTTCCATACATTCGCATACTCGAATGCCTTTAGGTACTGGGTATCTCTCAGTTGTTAACTATTGGCCAGAGTAGATTAGATATTTTTTAAAATGTTTCCATTTAGTTTATTTTGTGCGAATTGTATGAAATGAAAGCTAAACAAAGTTGATTATTTTATAGTTTTAAAACGATCGAAATATACACGTTAATTTCAAGGTTAAATACGCAATAATTAACTCGGCGAAATTACTTTTGGGGGTCTACCTCCGGCTGCGCCATATGCGTGCCATCGACTGAGGCTGATGCTGAGGCAACAAGCATGCCGCTTATTATGCTGCCCCTGCCGCTGCTCCCTGCCCCTGGCCCCTGGGATAGAGACACCGACATGTCTATAATGATGACGAGCCTGATGATATGCCAAGCACATGGCAGACGCGGCCCGGCCAGTTCGCTGAGGCAGCCAGCCAGTCGACTGCTACTGAGCCAAATGGCATAAAATTAAATTTTTTTCTAAATGCATTTTGTTGCCTATTTTCAATTAAGTTTTTGCCAAACGCATCAAGGTTAATTGATTTGTATTTGCGTCTGATGCGTTTCAATTGTGAATTCAAACAGTTTTTGAATTGCGAACTGTGAAGTTATCAATAATGCACTTCGGCTCAATGCTGATTTCAATTTAGATACATAATGCCAAATGCATCATAGTATAGTATAGTACTTAGATCAGCTACATAAACGGATCAATGCAGTCATTTTTCATTTGGACTTATTGTTTGTGCGGTAACTCACAGGCAATGATGACAGATTCTGTGCATTTGGCTCGTGGCTCACAGGTTTTCCAGGTAACAGTTTTATGTTCATGTTTTCATTACTTATTTCGGGGATGTTTAGCCGCGTTTTTGTTTTCATTTTGGCTTTGCTGGCAGTGCTTCCCACGGCCTTCGAGCTGTGCATTTGTTTGTCTGTTGTTGTAAATTGGCAAAACAATTCTCAGGAAACGCCCAAATGCAAATTGAAAATATTTACACATACTTTTCTAATTAAACGGTGATTTGATATTTGGTTTGGAAATGTTTGTTTGGGCAGCCGTCTGAGCGTTTGTATTTAAGACAATTGCCTTGATTTGGGCGCTTTTAATCGAGTTTTCGAAATGGTTGCCGACGGTCACGCGTCGAGTGCATAAAGGCACCCAAAAAGCGCACGCCCATAAATTCAACAAGTTTATTTATTTATCACTCACATGCAGCCGCTATAAATACAATCGGGCCGGATTTGTAGTGTCTGTATTTGGAAAATTTTTCAAAAAAAAAATTACAAAATAACCAAAAAAAAAAAAAAAATGTTAGAAAACACGGGCCAGCAATTGCATGTTGCATGTAAGGTCTTAGGAAAATGCACGGCTATAATTAAGCGTGAGCTAATGGCTAGCAGAATGCGCTGAAATCTTAAACCGCCGCACCAAAATCGGCCAGACCAACCGAATATGTATGTAAACAGTTTGATTTATCTGGTAATTAATATGTGAATACTCAAATTGTAGCAGCTAATTTGCTAATTTGTTAATTTGTTGCTTGCGGCTGTGTAATTGTGTTGTGCTGCGCATGCGGACCCACAAATTATGTGCCATTGTCGCGTTGCGTATACGACGCGTTGTCGTTGCGGAATTTTTGGACTTGAAACTAGCCAGCCATAAGTGTTGCAGGGCAGCGTTTGCAATTAAGTCATTAAATACAAATTGAACACAATAATTGCTGCTCCATACGAGCCGTGTAATTAAGCGAATATCGCGCATACGCCGCATTGTTCGAGCGAGGCAAACGCAGACGCGTGTTTCAATTGCTTGTCACTGCTGTGAACACCTCGACCAATTAGCCGGAGTTAAAATATGTGGCTTTAACAAAATATTGTACATTCCGTGGGACCGCCCGCTCTCGAGTGTTGGCGAGGCTGCGACGGCATCGGTAACGACCTTCGCGCTGCTCGAGGGGACAGACTGAGCGGCGTCGTCGCCTCGATGCTGCGCAGACAGAGTGTCGGCCAAAAAATGTAGCCATTGGCATAAATTATAGCACTCGGCAATATAAAGTAATCGACTGACACACAAATCGCTAGTTTCTTGCCCATTTCCAGCGCTGGCCAAGTGTAAACAGGTTTTCATGTTGCTTCATGATGTTTGTTCAGTGTTCTTTTAGGTTTTGTTCGCTTTCTTATTTTTCTTATATTTTTTTTTTTTTTTTTTTTCTTTACTACTATCGTCTCGTCGAAATGTTCAATTAGTCAGAGGCCAGGAACCACTTTGACTTAATCATAAATTAAGGGAATTATACACGCATTAAGTGGATATATGAAAATGGGACCAGCATATAGCCATGGCTATCAGACGCCGCTGATAAAAGCCGAGCGCACACATTGCATTTACATATTTTTGAGGCCTGTTTTAGAAACAAGTTAATAAGCAGCTTCCCAAACGCATGCATAAACAACAGCACAGAGGTAAACAGAGATCAACCGAATGGCTCTTTAATTAAATACATAAAGAGCCAAAGATTTGCATTGCAAATCGCATGCGGCCATTTAAAGCGCTGGATGAAATTTATGATTAGCTTCACACTAAAAGACATATACACCGAGATACAGAGCAATAGTGCGTACCAACCTGGCGGGTTTTCAATAGAAATTCTTTAACGAAAAACAATTCTAAGAAAGCTTGCCTGGCTGGACAAGGCCCAGACATTGACACTGATAACCCTGAATGTTTGTTAACTGTATACAGATAGAGACTTTGATTAATGTGCTGGCATTATAAACATTTGTTCAAGGAATATTGATTTAAGAAATATAAATATATATATACATATATATATATATATATACGGCAATAAATATTTAATTTTGAAGAGCGATGCAAAAATTGTATGCGATGCAGTTGCAGAACGTCCGCAGCTCCCGTGAGTTCATCTGCTTCCAGTCTAATAACAGATCGGAAGAATTAACAGATTGAAAGTGGAAAATATATTTTGAATTTAATAATATACTACTAAATAATACATGCACACTATCGGAAAATATGTTTAAAATATTCGTAAATATATAAAGTAAATCATTTACAGACATTTGTATGAATATTTTTTTAATGGAATATCTAATACAAGTTTAAGTTTGATAATTGTCGTAAGCTGACCCTGAAAAGTAGACTACTTTTAATTCGCCGTCCCTCAGATAACGGATCGTCGAAAGAAGTGTTGAAAAAAAATTGTATCTTACAATGAAAAGACTGATACACATATTTGCCGCTCTGCTTTTATGTTTCACTTTGATTGAATAAATGTGCGATCGGTTAACCCAAAAATATGCCAACTTAATGGCCCATGATTTTGATATATTTTCAATAATAACGAACATAAAAGGTCAATAGCAATACGAAATTTGAGTGGCATCAAGTCGAAGGCTTTCATGTCTATTAAAATAGATGTAAGATCGCGAATTGTGGCGGAACGCAACGGTAATCCGAAATACGCCTTAGCTATCCAGCTTTGGCTGTCGCAGATTTAACAAATAATCAAATGACAAACAACAATTCGTTGACATAACAAATGTCTCGCCGGTCACGAGAGTTCACAGAGCTGCCGTCAAATTATGTAAAATGCGACATTATTTAGTCAAATTCATTTGGCAACTAATTTCGTGAATATATTTGGCTGAATTTCAATTTAATTTTCGACACGACAATTTTAAAACCACATTGATCACGATACGCTAGATGCACAAATTTCAAATTTTCGAGCAGCGAGGTGCAAACAAATGCCTCGCACATAAATTAACAAATTAAAGGCATATAAACTGTTCGCTCGCGGGGGTACTTAGCCATTTCATCTTTTTATTTCTGTTTCTCTTGCTTCTCTCATTTTTTCTTTTGGTAATTTCTATTCTTTTATTTTTTTGCTGGCAAGCAAACAAAAATTGCCTTTGGCACACTTTACACCTTTGCGCTTAAACATTTCGGTTTAAACAAAAAATAAAAAATCCCAAAATGTGCGAAATTGTTGCGGTGTGAGGAAGTGTTTTCAACAGCTCTATAGATCTGCTCTAGAGATCTGCAAATAGCTGCCGGTATGCGTGCCAGCCAAAGGCCAAACACGTCGCTTGGGCCGTTGGCTGAGTGGTCTCTTACAGGTGGCCAAGGTAGCTGCCGGCGTCCGTTGATCGATACAATAATTCTTTCAAAGAGTTAATCACTCAAATCAGTCTGACCCCCTCTCTCTTTGGTTGACCCGTCTCAATGATAATGTTTACTTATTTGCGGCAGCTGGGTCAGTGGAACGTGCCCAAGACGAAGTGCTAATCTGGCTGGCTTTGCCGGCGGCTATGCCCCAAGCTGTGCAATCGGCATTGAAGGTGTGAGAGAATGCCACAAAGTAATGTGGCGCTTTCTGCTTTCTGACTTTCTGCTCTATCGTGAACACAGCTTCAAAGAATGATACTATAACATCTACTTAGCTCTACCCATAGCTATACCTTGACAATGACTTTCTTTTTAACGTCTGTCTGTGCGGTTGTTGCAGCTCGTGCTGAAGAAGACTTGCGAGTGGTGGTTCTACAAGCATAAATATATCCGCAACATGTCTACACACTGGCGGCAGCACGCCGGCATATGGATCAGCGTGGCCGCGCTGGGCCTGTTCGGAGTGGTTATATTCCTCATTTGCGGTGCGCCCAGCGACAGCAGCACCACCAAATTATATGAGATACAAGAGCCCAAACAGTTTTTCAACGATACGATTACTGTCAACTGGAGCGATGAAAGCGATATTGAAAGCGACAACGAATTTGGCAGCATCCAGGACATTGGCGATGACAATCTAAGTGCCTTTGTTACGCCTACCAAGATACACAACTTTAGTCTTAATGCCGAGGATTTGCTATACGAATCGAAGCGACACAGCGACAGCAGCAGCAACAGTAACAGCAACAGCAGCCATAGGGGTAAGTGGGTAGCCGGCAGGAGAGCTGAACACCCACTAGTAATGTAATGCAATGTGTTCTCGCAGATGCGACCTCCGCCTTCAGCATGACGGGTACATTCCGCACCAAGTCTAGCCAGATTTGGGATCCACATCCGGAGTATGTGCTTCAGATATTTGGCCAAGAGCTGCATCTTGTGCTGCATCAGGATACCTCCTTCATACCGTCAAACACGTTTCGGGTCATACGCATACTCAAAAACCGGACCGAGGAGTCGGTTCATGAGAGCGAGGGCCACTTTTTGGGCTGCTATTATAAAGGCTATGTTGAAGGCGACAACCTATCAGCGGTCGCCGTCTCTCTCTGCAGCGGCATGGTAAGTTCAATAACAACAACAGCAACAACACAAACATGAACATTAACGTCGAAAGGTGGCAGGTTGAGATCAGCTGAGGCTGAGACCTTCAGAAAGCCATTTGCATTAAATTAACATTTCGCAAATTATGCTTATCAATATATCGCCGAATATGACTACTAATTAACTTGTATCCACCACCAACTCCTGCCCTGCCCCTATTCCATAGACTGGTTATATAAAAACCCGTTTTGGCACGATGCTCATTCAGCCGGTCAACCAGACGGACGGCGACCAGATCTTGCATCGTGTCTGGCGGCACTCGCAGCGCAATCCTAGACATGCTGTCTCCGACTTGGATCTGGAGCTTGAGGCAATCGATCTGGCGGAGAGCATGCGACCACGTTTGACGCGGCGCAAGCGTCACTTTCTCAATTTGGGCAACCAGGTTTACACGCTTGAGGTGCTCATTGCCGTCGATGCCAGCATGGTGGAGTTCCATAAGGAGGATCTCACCGCCTACATTCTCACACTTTTATCGATTGTATCGAACATATTTGCGGATGCCAGCATCGGCAACTCCATACGCATTTCGTTGCTGAATCTACTGATGCTGCGCGACAGGGTACCCAACGAAAAAAGGGGCTCCAACGAGAAACTCAAGCATTTCTGCTCGTACCTATCCAAAGAGGGCTATCATTATGACACAGCCATGCTAATCACTCGGTAGGTGGAGTGGCTTAAAGCGTGGTCGGGGCGTGCCAACTAATCCTTAACTCTCCCGCAGCGATCAGATTTGCAGCAATGAACGCGAGGAACGCTGCAGTACTCTAGGCTTGGCTGAATTGGGTACCGTTTGTAAGGCGCGCTCCTGCTCCATTGTGCAGGACAATGGGTTGCCCGCCGCATTTACAATTGCGCACGAGCTGGGTCACATGTAAGTCGTTTACATCCCCCATCATATCCATTGTGCTCATGCACTTGTTTTTAGCTTGAACATGCCACACGATGATGATGATCGTTGCAAGCCACACAATGCCAAATCTGGCAAGAATCGAACACTACACATTATGTCCAGCGTCATGGGCGACCATATGCATCCATGGTCATGGTCGAAATGCTCACAGCATTATGTCTCCGAGTTCCTCGAGTGAGTTCCTAAGCAATCATTGCATCTAAGACTATTGCCTCTACTTGGCTATGTTTTTAGGAAAACTGACAAATCCTGCCTGGAGAACACGCCATCCTCGTACATACCCAACCTGAACACGAAGCTGCCCGGTGAGATTTACTCGCTGGACCACCAATGCCAGCTGATACATGGCAACCAGAGTACCCACTGCTCCTTTGAGACAGATTGCCGGAGGCTTTTCTGTAACGCCAACACACATCCCAATGACCTCTGCCGTTCCAGCAATTTACCCTGGGCGGACGGCACGCCGTGCAATAACAACAGATTTTGGTGTCAGAAAGGTATATGCGTGCCACGCCTCGGTAGCTCCCTCCAAATGGTCCACGGCGGTTGGGGTCCCTGGAGCGCATTCACGCCCTGCAGCCTCACATGTGGCGGCGGTGTGCAGGAATCCCGGCGCGAGTGCAATCAGCCATTGCCCGAAAACGGTGGCAAGTACTGTTTAGGCAGCCGTAAGAAATATCGCTCCTGCAACACACACCCCTGCCCTCCCGGCACCGTGGATCCACGCGAGCAGCAGTGCTACGATATGAACGGCAAGAACTTTAAGATACCGGGCATCAAGCCGGACTCAAAATGGATACCCAAATATGGACGTGAGTATATCGAAATGTCAGTCAAAATGGTCAAAGTAACCAATATCAAAATACAAAACACCACAGTGAACACACACGTAACGGACAAGTGCAAGTTGTACTGCCGCTTGGAGGACGATAGCGCCTACTTTCTGCTGCAGGAAATGGTCAAGGATGGCACCACCTGCACCGTGGACAGCTTTGACAAGTGCGTCAATGGCATCTGCCGCCCAGCTGGCTGCGACAACGAGCTCAACTCCATAGCCAAGCTTGGTAATTAGTCGTTCAAATACTCACTTTTTTAGTCATGACTTTGAAATCAATTGTATTCTTTTTTTTGCGTATTTCTTATTTCATTGCAGATAAATGCGGTGTTTGCGAGGGCCGCAATGATACGTGCGAGGAATTCACCGGAAACGTGTATGTCTCCGATTTGCTCAAGCAAAAGAAGCCCCCCCTAAGCCTATACTATGTCACGACAATCCCAAAAGGTGAATACAATAATAAAATAACCGAACCAAACCTTCCGCTCCCCAACCAACAGACCCTCACGCAATGTAGCCGGTTGCCAACGAGTCAAAAAAAAAAAAAGAAAAAAAATTAAAAAAAAATTCTATAATTAAATTTTGGCTAATGATTTGATGAATGAATGCTAATGGTAAATGTTTATGCATTGCGCGACTTAATGTGCTATTAAACAGTTTTTATGACTTCGGCTTCGATGCCCAATTGAGTCATAATGCCCCACCCTTTACCAAAAGAAAAATACATTAACATATTCATACATGTGTATTGGTTGCATGTTATTTGTGCTCGCTCACCTTGTTCAGTGGAACACGTGAATCGCTTGTTGCGCTGCTCGCTGCTCCCAACTGACTTGAGGTGCTCTGCTGATCAGCTGTCGCTCGGGCAAAGGCAAATCTCAATGCACCTAGGCGCCTCACGTACTCACTGATTGCTGGCCGATTAATCAACAGACGGGGCAATGGCGCCGGGTCACACCGGAGGTCGCCAGCAAATCGGCTCCAATAGTGCAACTGTTATCAAAGCACATGGCGCATATAGAATATTTTTATATACTCACAGACACACACACACACACACACACATGCACGCACATTGCACTGCACGGAAAAACCAATAATTGTTATTTTTAGCACGTGAAACAATCGTTAATAATACATTTACTGCACCATGCATGAGTACAATAGCAAACATGAATGAACTAATTCAACCAAATATTAGCTTTATATGCGACTTCCGTTTGGAAAGTTCAGTCCATTCCGCACGCATACATACACACATTGCATATGCTGCGAACTAAACCATTTTCCATATTGAATTACATATGTGTTTTCTATTTTCACTCTTTTAATCGGAGCGTTAGCTTAAGTGTCACCGGTCTTATTTCATTAGCACTTGTATATTTCGGTACTTTATTTTATCACACACTTATTTCACAATTTTCACGGCACTCTTCCATGAAACTGTAAGCCGAATTCGCAAATGGCCGACAGGGTTGCCAGATCTCAGTTCTGATATAATTGCGTGTTTCAACCGATAGCAAACACGCACGAAAATCTTATTGAGATTTAACTTAATTGCCAGATCTGTAAATGTCGCCCTTGCCACATAACATAAAAACAGCCATTTGATAGAAAATGATACACAAAAGATTTATAACTAAATTGAATTCAACAAATTGTATATTATTATTTTTTGAATATTAACCATGCAGGTGCTTCCAACATCGTTATCACACAGCCTGGTTACCCTGATCAGAACTACATTGTTGTAAGCGATGACAAGCACGTTGCTTTCCTGAACAGGGACAAGGTGGTCACACCTTATGCCAAAACGTACTCCTACGGGGGCGTAACGCTGGATTATAATGGCTCCAATAGCACCATAGAACGCGTAAACACCACCTACTCATGGAAGCTGACGCGTGATCTAATAGTTGAGGTACACCGAAACTCAATTGATTAGTAGCCCCTAATAACATCTTCTAATTACATCAACTGACAGATCATCTCGATAGACCTGAGTGCTGCCAAGAATCAGAATACCATACTGATATCGTATACGTACACCCTGGACAAGCCAATTATTGCGGAAGCGGAGGTGGAGATCTATCGCTGGCAAATGCAAGCTTGGAGCAGTTGCGACTCACTCTGTCAAGGCACAATGCATCGCCAAGCAGCCTGCATTAGCACAACGCAGGGCCTTAAGGTGGCGGCCCAGTACTGTGACGAGTCGGCTATGCCAAAAGCAGAGTATCGCAACTGCAACACGGACTGCATCCTAACGTGGGTTACAATTTAAACTGGCTTCGACTCTAATAGATACACTAATACTCATACTTATTTTCTCGCAGATTGAACACGACGAGCATTTCGGAGTGCTCCGCTGCTTGTGGAGAGCTGGGCACCCGGGAGAAGGCCTTCAATTGTATACAGACATTCCCTGATATTCAGCGTCCGAATATCGTCGATATGTCCTATTGTCAACTGAAGTTTGAGATTGTACGCCACGAGCAATGCCGCGAGGGTTGCTGGAATTACACGGACTGGTCCACGGTAAGTGAGCCATGGGTCAGTCAAATGCCTCAATATATGCATATATCCGGTTTCTTGTAGTGCACCCAAACCTGTGGCACGGGCACCCAAGTACGCGAAGTGCGCTGCTATCTGAACCACACGCCCGTCAGCAATGAACTCTGTAATCCACGAACCAAATACGAACTGAACGATCTGCTGCGCACCTGCAACATGGAGCCCTGCCGCTATTATCCTGAAGTGACGGTGAGCTGCGAAGATGCAAGGTCAAAACTAGATATATATTTAATCAATTTTGATGCCGCAGATAAACCAACGCTCTGTGAGCTCCTGGGTGACGGGTGAGTGGGGTCAGTGCAGCGATTGGTGCAAGATGAATCGCACTGTGACCTGTTCACATGCTTACGGCAGTCACTGTCCGGAGGAGAAGATGCCAAAGGCGGTACGCAATTGCTGTCACATTAAATACACCAGCGAATGGGAACAGGTAAGTGGCGAGAAGCGTCACAATCACTGAGGCAGTCCCCACATGTTGTCTCCTTCATTTGCAGTGCTCGGTAGAATGTGGCATTGGCACAAAGAACAAGGTACAGCGTTGCGCCCGCGTCTATAAGCCAGAGGTGCGGGGTGCGCCCAAGAAGCGAGTATACATTGACGACTCCTACTGCAAGAGGCTGAAGGTGCGAAAGCCATTGCTGCGCAAGTCCACCAAGGTGTGCAAGATCAACTGCAAGTGGGTCTTCTCCAAATGGACGCGCTGCTCAAGCGACTGTGCGGAAGAGTATCAGACGCGCTACGTGCGCTGCGAGGCGTGGCAGGGTAACAGCGTGAGCGAACGATATTGCGATGCCAAGAAGCGGCCGATCCAGCGAAAAATATGTGACAACTGTGTGCAACGGCGGTTTAAGGTGTTGAGTCCTGTAAGTGAACCCAGCTTGGGCGATATCAAAGTATTTCTTTATTGCCAAAGTTTTTATCTGATTCTTTCAGTGCGACTGCACGGGCTACGAGCGGCGGCGCATCTACTACTATGACTCACAAGGGCGACAGGTTGCCGGCAGGCCGAAAGTGGAGAAGCACAAGTGCACACCGCCGCCCAGTTGCAGGCGACGGAGTGTCAGCAGCAAGGGCGTTACGAACAGTGTCCAGGTGTGGGGGCCACAGACCTGTGCCGATCTGCAGCACATGTATCGCGTCTACAAGGATGGCGAGTACACGCTGCAGGTGCACTCGCGGCAGGTGCGCATCTATTGCCACCAAATGAACAGCCGAACGCCGCGAGAGTACATCACTGTGGAGCCGCAGGAGAACTACTCCATCTACTACGAGTACAAGACGCGACTAATCGACAGTTGTCCGCCAACATCACGTGACCACGAGTATGCCAACGACCAAAACTCTGGACGAACGCACTTCAGCAAACTGCGGCTAAATATCAGTGAGATGCGGATTATCGAGAACGACTTCGAATTTGCTGAGTCACGAGGACAGCGACAGGCGCTTGGTTCTGCGGGTGATTGCTACAATCGCAACATGAACTGCCCGCAGGGCGACTTCTCCATCAGTCTGGAGCGCACGGGCTTTGCAATGCGGCCGGGCACCGTTTGGAATACCTATGGCAGTCGATCGATCATGCAGCGTGCTAGCGGGGTATGTTACGATTATCGATGATGATACTGGATCCCTCTATATATATTTTTTTGAACTTTCAACTACAGTTTGACACATCGGCAACATCGCGACGTGCGTTTTGCGGTGGGTTTTGCGGCCGGTGTCACATATCGCCCACGTCCGGACTCTATGTGGAGGTTGTGTGATGATGCAGGCCGCCGACTGCTGCCCATGCCGATTGGGCCTGATAAATCCTTGGTGCTATTTGTTGCGCAGCGATTTCATCGTAGCTCGGCTCCTGTGCATTTAAACAGTTTGTTTCGCAGCCAGCTCCATGAGATCTTCCGGTTTGTGCGTCTCGTTGTGCACACGAGTCAACCGCACAAACCATACAAATTGAATAGTATTAAAACGATTTACACGCACACGCACACTTACACAAACACATACACACCCCCATACACATACACACAATCACATACACACACATTCATGCAGGCAATGTATAGTAAGCTAGGTAAATTACTAACGAACTTTAGGGTAAATAGCAAAGTATTTTCGAATCTCAGCCGGGTATTTTTCAAACCTTATTGTGCCAAATGTGCAATGCTCGTTGTCGAAATGTTTATTGAACTGAACCAAAGTGGTTGTCAAATATTTAGTTGTCCAATTGGAGGAACAGAGAACTGCCAACAAAAACAGCATAAATTAATTTGTTGTCCAAAATCGAAATTACAAGCATATTTCACCGCCATTCATAGATTCATAGGATCTGTATATAGCTAACACTAGGCTACAAAATTGAGCAATTTTGCTAGTCTGGAATAGCTACGATACATATTCAATATAATTAGTTATCTAATTATATTGGAAAAGTATGGTAACTGTTCTGGAGCGTAGTTTTAGTTAAGGAGCGTGTTAATCAAATTAACAGGCTAGCAGCATGATATTTTTATAAAATCTAAGCACATACAATATTAATTAAAACATTTTATAGGCACACAAGATTAAGCATAATATAATATATCTTAAAAGTTACAAAATTAAAAAACCCAAAAAAAAAAAAATTTATATATATATAGCAATTTAGGAAATTCGGTATTCAAATATTATTAAAGAAAGTTAACCACTTAAGTTTACTAAACAAAGTGCAATGCCGGCTTATACAATATTTGTATATCTAAAACTTACTTTAGCTAAGTAATTAACTCTATATACGATGTTCTATACATATATAAATACTAGTTACTTCTAATTGTACGATAGCTAAAAAAAAGAATACTCATATTTAAACATATATTCTACACCCAATCCAAAAAAAAACTCTCCAACTAATACTGCTGAAACAGAGAATATAAACGATAACTTACATATTTAAAAAAAAAAACACTGCCAATCAATTCATTTTGGGTACAATCAAAGGCCTCAAACACCAAAGTTGTGTTCTCAAAGTGAGAAGTCTCTAAATATTATACGTACAGCCATTTATATAATTTAATCGTTCAGTCCTCGCTGCCCTTATTAAATGTTAACATATTTTGGTATTATATATATACATATATATTAATTAATTAATTATGTTAAGCATTTCTACAAAATAATTTAACCTATAAATAAATAAAAACTGATGTAAAACCGAAAAGCATATTCATCTTATTAACAGTAAAGCGAATACGTAATAGAAAAAATGTCTTTATTGAAAATGTTTATATTTTTTAATGGAAGATATATATTTGGCTTTAATTTCACTGGCTAAGATTAAAAGCTCTTTCATATACAGTTTAGATAAGTTTATAAATTATTTAAATATTTCCACACAACGACGAGTTTCACGCAGATGTTCGCGACTGTGAAATTCGCCTGTGTCTGGGTTTGGTAACATTTTAAGGGGCGTGGCTTAAATATCGTTCAGCCTCTTATTGATATTGTGGCCTAAATGATTTTCGTGCAACAGAGTGTTGTTGTTATCCTCTTCTTCTTTGCTGGATTGGCTTAATGTGCAGCGCGCCGGCGTTGGTGTAAAGCTCGTTGATGTTGGTGCTGGTTTGTGACTTTGCTAACGTGGTGTTTGTCTTTGTTGATCTTTCGCAACGCGGGAAAGATTTAAAAGCACTTGCGGTGCACAATGCCGGGACCGGACTCATCGTACTCCTGCTTGGAGATCCACATCTGCTGGAAGGTGGACAGCGATGCCAAGATGGAGCCACCAATCCAGACGGAGTACTTTCTCTCAGGTGGTGCAATGATCTTGATCTTAATGGTCGATGGGGCCAGGGCGGTGATTTCCTTTTGCATACGATCAGCAATACCTAAAATTGAAACGACCAAAAATTGAGTGTGCGATCCAAGTTGAAGGGACTTGTTATGTTTACCTGGGTACATGGTGGTACCGCCGGATAGCACAGAGTTGGCATACAGATCCTTACGAATATCCACATCGCACTTCATGATTGAGTTGTAGACAGTCTCGTGAATACCGGACGACTCCATGCCCAAGAACGAAGGCTGGAACAGAGCCTCGGGGCAGCGGAAACGCTCATTGCCAATGGTAATGACCTGACCATCAGGCAACTCATACGACTTCTCCAGGGATGTGGAGGCGGCAGCGGTGGCCATTTCCTGCTCAAAGTCCAGAGCCACATAGCACAACTTCTCCTTGATGTCACGCACGATTTCACGCTCAGCGGTGGTGGTGAAAGAGTAGCCACGCTCAGTCAGGATCTTCATCAGATAATCGGTCAAGTCGCGACCGGCCAAGTCCAGACGCAGGATGGCATGGGGCAGAGCGAAACCCTCATAGATGGGCACAGTGTGGGAGACACCATCACCGGAGTCCAACACAATACCAGTGGTACGGCCGGAAGCGTACAGGGACAGCACAGCCTGAATGGCAACGTACATGGCTGGCGAGTTGAAGGTCTCGAACATAATCTGAGTCATCTTCTCGCGATTGGCCTTGGGGTTGAGTGGGGCCTCTGTCAATAATACTGGATGCTCCTCGGGGGCCACACGCAACTCATTGTAGAAGGTATGATGCCAGATCTTCTCCATGTCATCCCAGTTGGTGATAATGCCGTGCTCAATGGGATATTTCAACGTCAGGATACCACGTTTGCTCTGAGCCTCATCACCGACGTACGAATCCTTCTGACCCATACCCACCATCACACCCTGGTGGCGTGGACGACCCACAATCGAGGGGAATACAGCACGGGGGGCGTCATCACCAGCGAAGCCGGCTTTGCACATGCCCGAACCGTTGTCGATAACTAATGCACCCGCATCATCGTCACACATTTTGACAGTTGTTTATCTAGAATTATAGATGAGCTCGTTATAGAAAGGACATTATGTTAAATATATTAATAAACTGCAAATTTAACTAGCACTTTGATAGATAATTATTTATCTGGAGAGTTTCTTTTTCTATATTTGCTTCAAACCATTTTCTTTATATATGATAAAATGAATAATATTTAAGTTGCTTGGACTGATAATTCTGATACAAAAAATTATTTTACTTTAAATACCAATTTTGATTTTAATAAAAATAATTGTCTTAAATGAAAACCAATTATATATCACGTATTCCAGTAAAATAGTTTCGGTGAGTCGGAAATAATCCATGTATAATCCTTTTAACGTTTGCAAGTCAAATTCACACACGGACACACACGCAAGCACACACACCTTTTAGGCCAACGAAAGGAGTTGATGAAAATAAAATCGCACGTTTGATTCTTGTTGGCTCCTAGACTCAACAACAAATGGCACGCGGATGGCCAAGTGCTGTCTTTATATCGAAGGCTCTCGCATCGGCGAATTTTCAATTGAGCTGAGAACTCAATTAGTTGGCAGCCATGCAGAAATGCCGAAATTCGCAGAGAGGCAGAGAAATTGAGTAGAGCGAAAGTAGTGCCACGCATTTAACGCGAATCGATCCATATAAGCCGTTTTCCTAATTGCCGCAAGGAATTTACAAATTGTTAGGGTATATGCGACATTTTTATGCGCTGCGAGAAATAACTTAAAAAAAGGCTGACACATTTACTAGCCATAAATAATGCAGGTGTATAGCAACTTTTATAAAAAAAAGTGTCCAACTGAAGTATATTTCGCTTAAGGAGTAGAAGGGCCGATGATTAGACTCATGTAGGGTATATCCAGAGAGACTTAGAGAGAGAGAGAGTTGGGACGCACAATGCAGGGCAATCAGCATGCGAACTATCTAAATGACTGATAAGCAAATATGCGTGGCCGGGAGAGCGCCACAGTAGATTAGCCGATTGGACGCGTATCCGTTCCCACTCCCGTTGCAGGCGCCGAGCAGCTAGACCGCATTTGCAGTGCCGAAGATACTTCACTTCGTTGCCAATTCAGAAAATAGAAACGAACCTTAGAAGGACTGACAGATGCTGCAAGACAATTGGCGGGCCGTGGACCCTGAGCGAAGTGAGCGACAGAGAGAGCAACAGAAAGAGGGAGAGAGAGAGAGAGAGAGGGAGATAGCCAGGGACGCAGGCACGCAGCAGCGCAGACATCGATGCACCCAGCGGCAGGCGGCAACGCAACGGCAGGCACCAAAATAGACGCCGCCACAGCACAGCGACACCTATAAATCAACATCAAGGTTGATATCCGCGAGCTACTCGAGGAAGCATCGATGCTGCCCGCACCCGCCGCTACACTCGCGAAGTTGCGAAATCGCCGTGCCGCGCATTTCGCATGTCAATTAATTGAGATTCACCAAAATCAGGCACAGCGTTGAGAGAGATGCATTTAAGCACATTTTTTGTGTTTGGTTTTTTTTTTTGTGTTTTTGATTGTCTAAGTATTTGGATTTCTAATTGTTTTATGCTTTTTTTAACTTTACTCATGCCATTTGAATTTGTCCTTTTATGTAGATTTGCTTGTTTGTTTTCATTGTTGCTTGGCTAGATATTTATAAATTACACAATATATACGTATATATAGATAGAACTTATCTTAAAATAAATCTTAATTGCTCGGAAGTGATTAAATGAAATTCCCTCAATCCATCAGTTGATTTTATGTGTCCAAGCCATTTTGATTGGCTCTGTTCAGTAAATGCTCTTTCTGCAATGTCTACTACAAAAACTATATCAAAATATAAATGGTTTCAATTCGGAGGTCTTTTTTTGGAATGGTCTATTTCCTTGATTGAATTTGTATAAAGGTTAATCACAATACAAATTAATACACAACTTTTTTTGATTAATTATAATTAAATAAATGATTGTGATTTTTACATTGTACATTGAAAGAAACTAAAAAAAAACCAACCAACAAAGTAACATTTAGGGATTGTAACGCGAGTAATTGACGCAGGTTTGGTTTAATTCTCTGATCGCACCCCGTCAACATAGAGATCTCTTCAGATGAAAAAATTTTAATTTTGAAACCCTTAATTTTCAATTAAGTCCAAACTGGTTTAAATTTTTCCTGTAATCTGTTTTCCAAAGCATATAAATTCCACACGTAAATTGCTCGGCATGCCTAAAAGTATGCAGCAGTTTTTTATGTATACTCTAAAGTATGCCCTCTTTTTGTGCTATTAGATCAGATTTTAAGTTTGCAGCTGAAATTTTCAATATCCGCAAGAAGTTTAATGGGAAAAGTTTATTTTGGTTTGTTTAGGAATTTGATCAGCGGGAATCCAATAAATACGTAAATACATACTGGGAACTAAAAGCATTGCGCAGCTGCCGAATGTGAAATGTCTAATCCATGCGCTTGCGATTTGTGCAGGCTTTAAATATGTGAAAAAGTTACTACATTTATTAGTTGACATGCATTTACATCTAGTTTAATATGTAACTGCCAAATAAATTATAATGATTCCTTACACAATTTGAAATGGTTATACAAGATGGTGAAATTGAGGCCTAAAACAAATTAAGCATAAGAGAATATTTGGACAAAGCAAAACAATGGAGCAGCACAAAGCGAAAGCTAAGCAAGCCGAACGTGCGCCGGACCCAAACGAAAGACTTAAGCCACGAACTTGCGCTGTGGCACTGGAACTGGGAGCCAAGCAGAAGTAGAATAAGCTAAAGCATAAGGCAAATCAAGTTTGTGACAGCAACTGCGGCGCCAGCGTCGATGCGGCAGCGCTTGAAAAAGAAAGTGCAAGTGGACGCGGATGCTGAAGTATTCCATCAGCGTGGCTCCATGTGTGTGTGTGTGTGTGTGAGTGTGTGCTTGCATGTGTGTGCGTGCGTATTTTTGATTCTTCTTATTTTTTGCTGCTCGCTTTTGGTGTCTGAGCTGCCGCTCTTGCTCTTGCGGCTGCCGAGACCAGACCAAAGCCAAGTTCGAGAGCGCGCGCGTTGGCGATGACGCCGACAACGAAGGTGAAGGCGACTGCGACGACGGCGGCAGCGACGCTGACCTACTTCCAAGCTCTTACAATCAGAATGTTTTATGTTTCGATTTTATTATTTTATTTTGTGAAGTGTTCGTTTCATGTATCTTTTCGATTTACCGGCCAGCTCTGCCACAGACGTTGATCAGGCTGTCCATCTGTGTGTGCGTGAGTGTGTGTGTGTGTGTGCTAGTGTTAAAGTTACTTTTTCTTTTGTTGCGTTTTGTCTGCTCTCAATTGTTCATGCTGTTTGGTAGGCCTATGAAAGATACGCGCGTCGCAGCAAGCACATCTACACCAGAATAATTTCATGGTATGACTTTCCAAAAAATTGTGTTTTTATGTATGTGTACCTTAAATACATAAACACACACAATATATACACATATATATATATATATCTGCTACAGAATTTCACTCGCTTCTGCTCTCTGTACTGTTCGCACAGATATATACATATATTTATATTTATACCTTTATTTGTACTACACATATAAATGTACTTTTCTTCTTCAATTACTTTCGAATATACATATATATTCTTAGCTACTTAAATCTTGTTAACTGGGCGTTCACAATCGCAAGACTTGACAAGGTTTATTGGGGAATTATAAAACCTGCTCTTCAATGCATATCATCTTATCTCAAAGCGGCTGCACTGTGGTTCAGCACAGGACTCTGCTTTCCAATAACAATGACAGATCTTAGTATATAGTTCGTTGAGCTATACAATTATTTTAACAACGTAAGCCCCTTTCACTCCCGGCTTAATAAATACATATTTATCTGCCCAGGACCTTGGTATGGCTTTGTTATTGGCCTTATTAATAAGTAGCTAGCTGTTGGCTAATTTTGGCCCACTGTGCGGCGTTTCCAGCTGCTGTTCCTGCTGTTGCATGACATAAACTTTCGATTGTCTGACTCGGTCGGTTCGTCACATAACTGTGACTGCGTCAGCCGACATTTTCTGTTCTTTTCTTTATTTCTTAGCTACCACATTAATTTGGGTTATGGGCCAAAATGGGTAATTGGGTCAGATCTCGACGGGAAAAGCTTTCAAATTCATTTCACTTAAAATTCTTTGGGCTTAATGTTTTCTTATTTTAAGATTTTTAGTCATTCGCTGCTGCTTACGAGACTTTATGAAATCACAAATCCCATTTCATTGAATTTACAACTTTCATGGCTTATTTCTTACATTCGTCTGGCCCTGCCATTTGGTGCTGGCTTAATGCGCTTGGCATTGTTTTGGTTGCGGCTTTGATTTTGGTGTCTTTTTTTGATTCTTACCCATTTCTCTTTCTTCTCTCTTTGCGCTGCTGGTTAATAATTTTATGTTAATTATTAAAAAGTGAAAATACATTTTATACTTACGATTGTGGGTCTCGCGTTTCAAATTCTTGTGATTTTCCATCGTTCTGCCTCTGGTTTATATAATGCAAGGTTTCGCTGCTAATTGAATACATTTGTCAATTGAGATCATTCTTCAATTTCGTAGCAGAGTAATAATTACATTTTTTCTGATTATCACAAATAAGGAGTACTATATGCTATTAAGTTAAGCAGGAATCGATTTTTATTGATGACATGGGGTCACAGTTCTTGATATAAATTGGATTGGATTGTGCACACATTAAAAAAGAGACTTGCACTGAATGATATGTGAGTGTATTTAACATATAACTTTCACCCAAATAGCAGTGAACGCGGTATAACGGCATCATTATTACCATCAATCGGTCCAACGGATGCCACTGACCACCATCATAATGTGTTGATGCATCGCCGCCATCACCGGCAGCAGTTTATCAAGTACTTATGTGAACTCACCTGCACGTGAATAGATTACATATATAACAGCACATACATACATCCATACATCTGCACACGCTTATGCCATGTGCATAGAATTGAAAATGTGTAGAGTTTTGAACAAAAGTTTTACTCGATTCAAATTCTACGGCGATTTCACATGCTTGGGAAAATCTCAAAAGAAAGAAAAAGCAGTCAAAAATCCACAAAAATAAGTAAGAGTGTCAGTATCGGGAGGACCTGACTAAGCAATACCCTAACTTACAGCTGCAAATACACATGATGGCTTCTTGTCAGGATTTTATAAAAAGTATCTCGCAGATACAAAAAAAAATACAAATGTATTTGTAAGTAAAACATTAATTAGCATTTGCGAAATATAAAAGAATCTGTTAAATAACGCTCGCAGTATCTATAAATAAAAATCTCCGCATAAGATAATCAAAGGTATCTTACAGATAAAAATATATTGAAAAGATATAAAAGAATCTATAGGACATAAATGTATCTCTTAGGTACGAAAGCAACTGTAAGAGAACTAAAAATGGTAACATTTGACTGCGCTAACTTTATTTTACCCATTTAAGTTGAGTACAGGGTA